TTCAGATGTATCCAGCGTTTTGCGTGACAAACTGGTGATGTCACAGTCTCGTGCTACCAAATTCCATTTTTATTCTTAATGAAACTGTACTTCAAACCTTAAAAGTAAAGAACTTGCACAGTTCAGTGCTTACATTTCATTTAGACATTCATGAGTTATATTTAGTTATGTTTAATTTAGTTTAATTCTTTACATATAGACTTTCCTGGTAAGCGAAATATTTCAAGAAGTAGCAAGCAAAATAACTGACCCAGCAAGTTTTCAAAAGTGTAATAGTTAACTTAACTCAAATGCTGTGCTGTTTACAGTTAAATTTCTATGAGGAACTAGGTGGTTGAGTGGAGTTTAATTACTTTTATATAAGAAAATATATTAAATTTTGATTAAATTAGACAGTTAAGCCAACATAAGCCCAGATGATTTACAATGTGGGTTGTGTAGCCTAATGTTATATTTGTTTGTTTGTTTGTTTTGAATTTCGCGCAAAGCTACACGAGGGCTATCTGCGCCAGCCGTACCTAATTTAGCAGTGTAAGACTAAAGGGAAGGCAGCTAGTCATCACCACCCACCGCTAACTCTTGGGCTACTCTTTTACCAACAAATAGTGAGATTGACCGTCACATTATAACGCTCCCACGGTTAAAAGGGCGAGCATGTTTGGTGTGACGGGGATTCGAATCCGCGACCATCAGATTGCGAGTCGAGCGCCCTAACCACCTGGCCATGCCGGGCCCTAATGTTATATAAATGTTTTATATTACATTGTGTAAGTGATGTAAAAGTAATGTCAACATTTCCCTTTCAACGCTATCATAAGCAAAATTGCAAATTACTCAGTATATATAATTACTATTGGTTAAGAATAAATTTTTATTACGTCATAACTACTATATGTTTCCCGTTAAAATGAAGCTCCAAATTATCATTTGGATTTTGTCTTTAGTGTCAGTTATTATTGTACATGTTCAAAGTAAAATATATATATTGTTACGACAGCGGGGGTCACGTGACGCTAGTAACACGTCATATTCTCGAAGGCTCGTGAAGTCTCGAGCTTTGACTAGATATGCG